GGGAAGCTATGTTTGATGAAGATGATATTTTTTGTCCTCCAAGTTTTGATGAGCAAATTTATTATGATGAAAGCATGCCTCCTATTTATGATGATTATATTGATGAAAGTATATTTGGAGAGGTTATGACTTTATTTTGTGATGAATCCACTATTTCGAAAGAGGTACCAATTGATTATGAGAACAAAGTTGCTATCTATAATGATTATTGTGATGACTTGTATGCTAACTTGTCATCATGATTTTAGTTTTTCAATTGGATTATGCCTCACATGATAATTATTTTGTTGAGTTTGCTCCCATTATTATTCATGAGAAGAATTTTGCTTATGTGGAGAGTAATAAAACTTATATGCTTGTAGATCATGAAAGCAATGCTTTATGTGATAGTTATATTGTTGAATTCATTCATGAAGCTACTGAAAATTATTATGAGGGAGGAACATGTGCTTGTAGGAATTGCAATAATATCAAGTTTCCTCTCTATGTGCTTAAGGTTTTGAAGTTATGCTTGTTTTGCCTTCCTATGCTAGTTGATTATTGTTCTTTGGCTTTTCACTGCCGACCGATTCCAAAAGGATATGCTAGGGTGATGGTGGACGAAATAACGGAGGGATTTGAGAAGCTCAAGCTTGACCATCCTACCGGTGAAGGGGAGACTCGGCTGGGTTCTGCTTTGAAGACTCCATGCCTATGGCGGAAGAAGCTCATCAACCTTCCGAACTGGACGCCTCCGCCTCCTCCTCCTCTGGCGAGTCAGGGCACTCCGCCTCCTCCTCCGCCTACTCCTCCGGCGAGTGATCAGGGCACTCAGCCTCCTTCTCCGGCGCGTGGCGGCACTCCGGCTCCTTCTCCGCCTGCGCCGGTAAGCTGTGAAAATCAATAAGCATGTTTTGTGTGAGAGAAATCCATAAAAAGTTGCACTCTGTAATATGGAGTTATAGGTTTGTAGATCATGACCTTTTGAGGAAAAAATGTGCATAGTAACCAAGATGTTTTATTCGTTAACATGTATGTATGACAGTAGGCTTAGTTTAGTGAGAAGACAGGTAGCCAAGATGAGGCGGTATTATTTGGAGGCCAACACAAGTTTTTCTACTACATGTGTCACCATTATATTCACCAAAAAAAGTATCACCATTATAATTATCCTCAAGAGGGTTACCACCCAAAAAATTATGTACTTGAGACTTAGAAGAGCTAGTGCATTATGGCTAGTGTAATTTCAGAGGAACAATAAGCTAACAATATATATGTGGTCGATGGAGATGTCTAGATCATGACCAATATGACATTGCACACCAGATGATGCAAAACAGGAAACAAGGGCAACAATACTGGAAAATAAACGACAATAGAACATGCATCAGGGTGAAACTTGCATACTACAATATGAAACACGTATTCAGATGAACAATCTAAGCATCAAGAGCAGGCCGTCTGTTTGAGAATACCGTGCGCTGGCCTGGTTTGGCAAATGGTGCAGACATAGTACTTGATCTTTGGCTTCTTGTGCCAAAACATTGCGAAGAGTTTATCCACATGATGTTCATAGAGCTTCACTTCATTGCCCCAGAAGCAATGTTTCTCCTGCTCGCCAAAGTACTTGACACCGTCAGGTGTGCCTGCATTTGTTTTGTGTTTTACGTCAGGTGCAGCACCAAGGAATTGTTTTAGAAAGGGATCTATGTGTGCTTACCACGAATAATGTAGTTGCAGGGTTCATCTTCGACCTGGTGTCCCTGAGTAAGAAATGTCAATAACAGGAAGTAAACTAAGATGGAAAAAAAATAAAGGAACACAGCAGATAAAATGAACAGTCTCTAATGGAGGTCATAGTATATCAACGACTTAAATGGAATGTATCCATATGAGCATAGAGCTAAAAGAAGAGACAGAAAACTGGAAATAGAGAGACATGTTCATACAATATTTAATGTACCAGCTCGGTAGAGAACTATGTGTGACAGAACTGCAAGGTCAACGGTGATACAATAAATCAGAGATATTATTAGTGGTCTTACATGAACACAGAAGTCACGGTCTTACATCTTAGATGACTGCTGTCATGGACGATACATATAGAGAGTGCAGAGACTACATTTTCTAAATTCAAGCATCCAGAAAATGCAAAGACCAACAAGAAGCCAAGACTCCTCGACTAAAATTCTAAATCTCAAGGAAACTTGCACAAAATCCAAGCGAAATCATTAATTGTCTGTTTACGCAATGATTTGAGAGGAAGACAATGAATCAGGGAGTAATTGAGATTAACAGAATTTTACAGCTGTTCTTAGATCCCACAACACCAATTTCTCATGAAGCGAAGTTCATATCAAATGAAACCAGTAATTTGGATGCCATTTGCAGGAGGAGATAAGCTTGAGTGTGAAGAGAACTGGAAAAATAGGAGTTGTTGTTCCTGTTGAAAGGATAACATATGAGCTAATATGAACGTGTTTCCAACAAAGCTACACAAAATATAGTGTTTTCTATGTTTACCAGGTTTGCAGGGATCCCATACCCTTAGTACAGGTCAAAACCACCAGAAGCAATCAGCAAAGAACTCTTGTCGCCATAATCCAAGCAATTCAAAGCGTTCCCATAAACTACAAGAAAGATCCGGAGATTAAAAATAGTAAGATTGGTACAGTTATGAAATAGAGCCATGGACAAAAATATTGTTTGGGTTGTACAAATGAGTCGATGAACTAGTGCAAACTTTCTTTCTCCTTTTGTAACACCCAGATTGCAAGAGGCAAAACAAAAATAAAATAGAAAATCAGCACCCAGATTGAAGTTGTTTCCTTCTCTACTACTTTTCTAGCACAAAAACACCGTATTGTTTATGGATCTTGTTTTAAGGGCATTTCTATAAAGAAAATCAAATGCAGCTAACCTTTGAAAAAGGTGTCCATCTCTCACTCAATATAAAAGCCACGCTCAAAATCATCCAGCACTGCAGCAATCAAGAATGCACCCCCAATCTAACTGATTAATTTATTAAGAGGTGTGCAATGTATAAGTCGATCATCAACCTTATATTACTAATAATTATGCAAACTCAGCATCGGGCCATTGACCAATGATAAAATTTCCCTAGATCCTTAATGTGTTAAAATCAAGGGCTTCTAGATTAAATAAAAATCAAGAACAAACAAATTAATATAGGAAGTGCTTTTCAAAATGTAAGTCTTGATATCCAACCGCTATTCTTCCAGACAGTTGAGGACATAAGCACCCCCTTTTACTGAATAATTCATGACTGGACAAGTCTATTAATAACCTCCGTGACACAGTTCGATAACAATATACTAGTGAATATAGGACGACGAAACTTACATAAACACTTTCTGAAACCTGATCCAATTGTTTGCTAATTACGTCCATCAGACCACAAATCTTCCATCCCTGTAAATCAATGAGTTAGCTTCAACAGAACTGCTAATTGTGAACTTCAAACATCATAGTGGGAACATGATTGTGTGCACGAGCTGATCAAGTAAATTGCAAATTAAGATAATTTAGGGCTACAACTGCAGCTTAAAAGTAGTACAACTACAACTCAATTTCAACGATGCAACAAATTTCCTCCAGAAACAGGCTGCAGTCTTAGCACTACTTATACACACATCAGATTAGCAGAAAATAGGAGGAAGGACTCCATAGTAGTTCCGTTGGTTCGGTTGAGCTCAAGCCTTGCGGACAATCACATGGTGCTCCCTCTGGAACTCCACCTCGTCCCTCTGGTGGTGCATGATCACAAGGGCTCTTCTCACCTGAAGCAGCAAATGGAAAGTGTGGTTACAAACCAGCTATAGATAATCTATGAATGACATTATGCTTGTGAAATTTTATGTGTTATATGACAGGTTTCTTACAATGTAGTCGCTCATCCCCATCCGATTCAGTTACCCAAAACAATGAGCTAAAGAAAGTTGCAGCTCTACCAGCAATTCAGCATGTCGAAAGAAGTACTACCGGAAGCCTGGAATAGTCGAACTGGAGTTGATGTGGTAAGGTTATCAGAATCCATCAGCTTACTTGTTCTTGGAGCATCGGAAGTGCACCAGATAGAATCAAACCCTGATATTACCATGCAATTTGCAATCGTTGACTGCAAGGAATTTAGCCACCATGTATATGTTTATGGAAGAAGTGGTCCCAGTCTGATGTTACCTGGGAGAAACCCATCAGTCCATCAAAGGGACCTTCTTTAATTATCAACTCCTCGATGTAAGTCAGGCATTTGACGGAATATAACGAGGGGGAAATAAACTCATATCCGCAGGGGGACATTCTGCGACCTGCTGCTCGATCTGGTGCGAGGGGGAGGGGAGGTCGCCGATGGTGATAGTCAGCCGTTGGGGTCTTGGGGAGGGCGTGGCTGAGGGGAGGTTGCCGGTGGCGGCGGCGGCTGCGGCAAGGGGAGAAGGAGAGGAATTGGGGGATCTGGACTGGGGCCCAATCCCTTTCTCTCTTTTTTCCCGAGAATAAATATCTCTTTGTTTTGTCTTATAGCTGATCCGACGTGGACGTCGCCAGGATGCGCCCTTTCGCCACCGTTAAAGGGTTGTATAGTGTGTGGGTCCCGTTGGGCTATATCAGATCCTTAAGCATGCCCCACTAGCCCATGAGAAAATTGAGAGCATATCAGAAAAGGCCCAGCTGCTACAACTTCACGTGCTTCCTCATTTGAACTTGATCATTTTCTTCAAAGGTAGTCAAAGTTTCTCTAAAAGCACATTACGGGGATCCTATTACTACCCAACTAGCATTTAGCACTACAAGCATTAATTTGTTCTACATCACCTCTGCTCTCTCTCATAGTTTTAAATAGCCGGCTATAACCTTGCTATAGCTGTTTGAGAATGTTGCCGCTAAATGATTTCATGTATAATTTGTCGCTATAGCTCAGGTATAGCTGTTTTTAAGGGTCGCCGTTAAATGTCATAGCCCGCTATTTAAAACATTGTCTCTCTATGTAATGCAAAATCATCATGTCCCTCGGTACTATCAAAGACAAATGGGATTCTACAGAAGTCAACTGCACTAGAAATGTAAGGTCTCATTTTAACTAGGGCCTTATCGATAATAGCATTATGATATTTTCCCTAAGTAGGGGAATCAATGAAGGGGAAATAAGGTGTATCAGGAACATAAGTTCTCAAATCATCCCCAAATCCTTTGTGATTTTCAACATCTTTAAGAAAAAAACTTAGACATAATTTTCGACATCATTTTTCGATTGATGATTAATTTGTCTGATCCGACAAAGTTTTTGATTGATACTTTCATTCATTCCCATATCCATAGGTGCAGTAAAATGAAAATAGCGAGAAATGTCAATAGAATTACAGGAATCCGAGTCTCCATCCAATCCCTCGTCGGAGCAATCCTCTCCTGCCAGCAACCAGAAGCGGTTTCTAGCTGGAGCGACTCCTAATTTTTGCACTCGGCAAGGCATGCTGAGCGGTGCTCCTTGGGCGTGAACCACATCGTGTGGCGGAGAACCACCTCTCCTCATAGATCGGCCGCCATCTCCTTCCTCCGTTTCACCATCATTGGAGGCACCGCCTCTTCCTAAATCACAATCGGAGCATGGATCGAACCTGGGGATAGAAGCGCAAGCACCAACTCCCTCAGACCCTTCACCGGAGCCAGCGGCGTGGTGCTTAGCGACGTGAACGCCACCCACTTCAGTGCCTGTGCGGGAATCTTCGAGTCCACTCGATCCATAGGCCAAAGCAAGATCTCCGGCTAGTGCTTCCGCTCCTCCGTTCCGAGTAACATCTCTTCCTCTTCCTCCATCAGCACATCGAGCACCGCTTCCGCCTCCAACTTCATCGCCTCCCATTCATTGCACTAGGAGCAGATCTCACAAAGGTGCGCAATCTTGCAAGCATCTCCTGAAAATTTCCGTAGCTTCTCCTCTCCCATCACCATCGCCATCGCATAAGACCTCATCCCTCAAAATGGGGAGAAATGGATCTTGCGGGGAGTTGCGAGAGAGGAGGCTGAAGTGCCAAAGCGAAGGGATTTGCTCACCAATCCTCCTGGTGGAGTTAATCACCCCCACTCGCGCATCGCCGCGCACCAATCCTCCTGGTGGAGTTAATCACCCCCACTCGCGCATCGCCGCCATGCGCATCGATCGAGGAGGTCTCCATAGTGCGCCTAATGGGCTCCCCAAGTTGTGACACATGACACGAAAGTGTACCACAACACACGGTACAAAAAATTTGCCCGCGCGGTTCGCATGAGAGTCCACCCACACAACCAACCTCGTCGACGAGGACCACCCGCGGCTTCTCTCCTCGTCAATAGATTAGCAGGCTTGCCGCCCGAAGATCCGGAACAAACCACAGCGACCACTGCATGTCGCGTGCGTTGCATGAAAACATCCTTCCTCCCGTAATTGTTTGTTTGTTTTTTCCTTATATTTTGTGTGTATAAATGTCCATTACCCGTGGGTATAAAATCTCTTCAATTCTTGTCATGTCCTGTTTTTTCGGGGTAGGCATACCCATTGGCAAAATTACCCACGGCCCATTTGCTAAGCCCGTGTAGGAGATGTGCGATACAGTTAGCCCGTTTAAATGGCGCACCCACGGCCCATTCGCCCCTACCCCTAAATAAAGTTCTCTCTCCCCTATCCCTTCCCCTAAAAGAAAAAAAAAACTTCCCTAATCCCCTGCATCTTGCCGCCGCCGCCACCGCCGCCGCCGGATTTCTTCCGCCCGTCGCCATGTCCACCGCGGGAGAGCGCTCTCCCCCGCGAGAGGAAGGCCGCTCGTCGATTCGCGCCCGGTACGCTCGGCAACAACCACCATCAACCCCTCCTCCTCCGTATCTGATCCCCTGACCTCCTGCTCCTCCGCCCGTGTTTCTGCAGGGCTCTCCCCGGCGGGCCGCCGGCCGGGAGGCTCATCGACGACATCCTCGTGGAGATCCTCTCGCGCGTCCCCGCCAAGGAGCTCTGCCGCTGCAAGTGCGTCTCGAGGCACTGGTTCGGCCTCATCCACCACCCCGACCACCGCAAGCGGCTCCCCCAAACCCTGGCCGGCTTCTTCTACGGCAGCAGCACCGGCACCACCGCGCAGCGGCTCCTGGAGCTGCCCTTCCGCTTCACCAGCGTCTCGGGGGACCGCCGCCTTCCATTCGGCACCAAATTAAGCTTCCTGCCCAACCACCACCTGCCCGTCGATCTGCTCGACTCCTGCAACGGCCTCCTCCTCTGCCGATGCTACCACGTCTCCGGCGGGGTTGGCGCGTTCCATTATGTCGTGTGCAATCCCGCCACCAAGAAGTGGGTCGTGTTGCCCAACTCCTGCAAGGACAGCAGCGAGGTGGCCACCACATCTCTGGGCTTCGACCCGGCTCTATCGCCGCATTTCCATGTGTTTGAGCTGGTAGTTGAGCACAATTATAGTCAGGACACTGAGCTTTCGGGAGTGGCAGTGTATTCGTCTGAAACCGGAGAATGGATTCATAAGGAGAAGAGATGGAACAGAGCTACTCGGCACTCCTCCGCAACAGTCTTTCTCGACGGCCTTCTGTTCTTTCGTGCCCTTGACCTTGAATATCACGATTGTGTAGTTGCGGTGGACACAAAGGGAGAAACCTGGATGAAATTCAGGGTCCCTGGTGGTCAGGTTGATGATTTTGGTCCGGCCGATGGTTTTGTTCACCAGATGTTATTCAGGGTTCCTGGTGGTCAGGCTGATGATTTTGGTCTGGCTCATGGTTTTATTCAGCGGTCACAGGGATGCTTGCATTTTGCCAATTTTCAGAGGGATGAAGATGGTGTTGGCATTCGATTGGTAGTTTATGTTCTGAAAAATTATGAAAGCGAAGAATGGATAGTGAAGCATAGCATTAAAACTTCAGACATATGTGGATGGACAGACTTATGGCTTGATGCGGATTTTGATTTCATTGCGATTCATCCAGAATGCAATTCGTTGTTCTTCATTGCGGGGGGTGTCACATTAATGTGCTATAATATGGATAATCGGCAGGTCAAAGTGATCTCCTATCTTGGAGGTGCCAAGCCGCTATTTCTGCCCTATGTGCCGTTGTACACCGAGTCACTCTCATTGCACTGCTAAGTGGATCTCTGATCGGAGTCAATTCTTCATGCTATGGAGCAGTGGGCTTGGTATGTCTGCTTGAATTTGGCTCTCATTTTCTCTGACTGATGAATGCATGTTTTTCCGGTTTGGAGCAATGGTGGTTCAGTATGGAGGGAACCTGACTGATTTCTCTGTGATCAGTTATCCAAATTTGTACTGAACTTTCTGTCATATGTACTGGTCTCTGGTTTGGTCAACTTCTACCTTCATGCATTGCTTAACTCGTGTAGTCTTTGTGTTAAGGTACTATGATCAGTAAGACATGGACAATGGTTATCATGCAGGAAAACTTTTCTCGAACATCATGCTGAGGCTTAAAATTTGATCTTCTACAGCATTTGCATCCACGTGAATTATAACCATCTTATTTGCAATGATTTAGTAAATGGTCACTTGTCTGCTAACGATATGGTGTGTGAAATTGTGCTGATGATGCAAATCATTTCCTTTCTTTCCTGCCAATGGTTTGAAATATAAAATCATTGCTGCTATCTGTTAGTGTAACCCTTGGATGAATACATGTCACTTCTTTGGATGCTAGTTTCTTTTTTGAACACAAGTACACAACAGTGGTCTTTGTTTGTGGGTATTCTTCAGTTAGGTAGCGTAAAAGAGTTTGAAATAATCACTTTCATGCGCCTTTTATTGTACTCATGCTTCTAGTTATACTACGTACGATCCCTGTATGTTGCACTACAGCAACTTTGCAGAGCTGTTTCTGAATTTTGACTTTTTGTGTCCTATAGCACTGTAACAAAAAGGTTCAGGCTCTGTGTGGGCTCTGGTTTCAGCTTCAAATCTCCAAAACAAACTGAAACTATCCCTGTGTCCTGCGCTCCCGTTGTCATCAGGGATGACAAATAAGCTCGCCTCCTTTTATCGGGGACGGCACTGGTGTTTAGGAGCTAAATCGATTTGTTTTTGGCGATTTTTGAGGTAGATTTATGTGTAAGAACACTTCCAGCATTATCTAGTCAAGGAAAATTCATCGTGTTTTTCCTGGACGAAGTTCAATTAGGTAACAGGTCAGCATGCATTCTTATGTAGCCTGTTTACTCTAGTGAAACAATCCCAGTGAAGCCAACAAGACGGACAGAGCTTAATGCACATAACCTAGTGACAAAAACCTGTGCGTCATTGTGGGCACCATTGCTCTGATTGTGGTAACTGGGGTATAATTACTGTCACCACCTTCGGCCCCAAACCATCACACCATCACCCAGGAGAAAACAACATTGACGCTGCCCATGGAGCACAAGACCCTGAGGCCTTGTTCGGTTGCGGGTGAATCCGAGTGGATTGAAGGGGTTTGAGGGGGATTTAAACCTCTTCTAAGTCAAAATATGAACCAATCCCTGCCAATCCCCTCCAATCCTCTTGGGGAGAGGATTAACCGAACAAAGCCTGAAGGATGGAGAGGGCGGGGGTTTGACAATATTACTCATCCCATGGTTATAGGGCATACATTCTCTGGAGATCTAAAAATGATCCCAGGCTCCTTTTAGCCCTTTACAATAAATCGGTAAACACACATTGGGGAAACTGTAAGCACAAAACTCCATGCCGAAAGTGTTAATCAGAACCTAGAAAATAAGTGGCTATACAAAAAAATAAAATCAAATTGTAACTAGGATTAGCGACAATGTTCAGGTTCCCAGCGCACTGAAATCGCCGCCTGAATTTCTCCAAAGCATCCAAAGGGTTTCTCCTAGAGACCGTCATGCAAAAAATGCGATGATGATTCAGATCTCCATTACATCTGATGATGGTCATGGCCTGCTCTGCTGCACGCTGACAAAATGAAGCAACAAATCATCGATAAATTCTTATTCCGGCCCAGCCTGCGCTGCCCATGTCTCGCCAATCTGGAATCTACCTTTCTTGGATTGGGAAGAGAACTGACAAGTGAAGGATATATATGTTTGAATTATAGCTGAATACTGCTTTGTGTCTCTAACTTCAGACAATCAACTAGGTACACAGTTTTGCATGAGAAGTGCCATGTGTAAGATGGTTGTGGAATAACTTACATGATTTTTGCATCTTATATTCTTTATGGAGGGAGTACTTAGCAACTTGCACACTATAGACCCAAAGTGGTCGGACCCTTCCCCGGACCCTGCGCAAGCGGGAGCTACATGCACCGGGCTGCCCTTTTTTTTTTAGCAAGATAGTTGCTAAGTACTCCCTCCGTAAAGAATATAAGAGCATTTACATAGGAAATGTTTTTAGCAGAACATGATCATACACACCGAGCTTGGATCATAATTTTCATTTTTTTGCATGAGTAGTTTCTATATAACGCATAAGTGCTCTATGTTTGTGGGTATTGTTCAGGTAGGTAGTTTAAAAGAGTTTGAAATAAGCACTGTTGTGCGCCTTGCATTGTAGTCGTGCTTCTAGTTGTACTACGATGCCTGTAATGTTGCATGTACAGCAACTTGGCAGAGTTGTTTCAGATTTTTTTGTTTGTTTTGAAACGAGGCAAAAGACTTACCATTTTCATTGATTAAGAATAAGATAATTGCCCGATTAATTGACAAAAACCGGGCTAAAACCGATACATCACAACCCACATGACATGGGCACCACCGGCCAACCTGGCCACCAACATGGAACAAGACACGACGGCACATGCCAACGGTTGGCCACACGCGCAAGCAACCGACAGCTTCGACTTTGACGACGAGCAAGACAAGGGAAATATGCAGGACTTGCGCCGATCATGCCCACCGCAAAACGGCCACCGAATGTCTGTCATCGTCACCACTGGACACGCTCCAACGTAGCTTTGACTTCAAAGCAACCCAACAGCCACGGAAGAGCACCTCGGACACGTCGGGAAGAACCGACTACCGAAGACCACACCGCGACCCAAGCTCCTCTCAACGCCATCATCGTTGCCAAACAGAAACCAGTGCCCCGCCCCAACCTCAGCAAACCACGCGGCGAAGATGCTGCCATCGACGGCGAAGATGCCATCATCCTCCAGACTCACAGTCGTAGCCGGCTCCGAAACGATGCCCCCACGGAGGAGAAAGACGTGAAGACGCCTCCATCGCCCAATCCAGCGGATCAGAGGTTTCCCTCTGGAGCCCAAGCCGTGGGGAGAAGGTGGAGCACCTCCACGACGACGCTTCCAAGAAAGACCGCGGCACCTGCGGGCGCCGCCGTCACTGGCTCCGGTGAAGAATGGAGCAAGGATTTCTCCCGGAGATGTGCCGGCCACCTGCCACCACCGACCACCGACCGCCGCCCACAAACCACCACCCCTGCCGAGGCCGACTCCAATCTTGCCATGGGACCCCTCGATCCGCCGCGTCCAGAAGCGCTCCGCCCCCCGGCCGAAGCCGCCACCGCCGAACCCGGGGCCGCCGCCCCGGCAACCACAACCCACCACCGTCGATGACATCACCACCAAAGGAGCCTGACCAGGCCCATCGGTCCGGAGCCCACATCACCAGATCCAGAGGCAAGGGAGGGCCTGAACAGATCGGAGACCTCGCTCCGGGCCTCGCTGCGAGATGGCCGGCAGACAGAGAAGCCGCTGGGAAGCCGCAGCCTCGCGCGACGCACAGTCCTCCGCCGTCAGATGTGGCCGGAGTCATATCGAAGGATGGGAGGAGGCGTCGCGGTCGCTGGGCCCCAACCACACCGCAAGGCACGGCCACGCCGACGCCGCGCAGCAGCCGCGCGCCGCACCGCCAGGGGAAGCCGTCGTCGCAGGGGCTCCAGATCCTCCACCGCCTCCTCCGCCGTCGGACGAGAGGAAGAGGAAGGGGAAGACCCCGGCGCCACCGTTCGCTGCCCGGGCTTAGCCTGGCGGCCTCCTCCGGCGACGGCGAGGGGAGGGAGGGGGTGAGGGGGGCGGCCCGGCGGCGCGGACGAGGGCTCCGCCCGAGTCGCTAGAGAGGCGACGCGGGGGACGAGTGGTTGAGTTGAACAAAGAAGTAACCGATGAACAACTGTTTCTGAATTTTGACCTTTTTATGCCCTATAATAGTGAAACTACGAGGTTCATGGCTCTGTGGGTGCTGTGATTTTCAGCTCCAAGTCTCCGAAACAAACTGAAAGCCCAGACAGTGTTTTTTTTTCTTTTGCGGTTGACAGTGTTGATAGGACTACCGATATGATAGCCATTCCTAGGGATCGGATCAGCCATGCAGCAGCTTCACTGGGCACGATCTGGAAGTTTCTTTTTTTAGGGTGATGGATCACGGGAAGATCAGCAGGAATACGTTTTTTATTGAGACAAATCGGCAGGAAAGCGCTCGTGTTCGAACCCCGCAGCAGCTACTGCTACTTTTCTGGTGGACCGAGAAGGAAGGTGGCCCAGCGAGCGTTTAGCTGCTGCTTTCCAATTGCAGAGATCTTTTTCATTCACCACACATGATTTTTATTTTATTATTTCATCCATCCTAGATGATTCCAATTTTTCTTTCCTTCCCTCGCTTCGCAATTGCGTAGATCCAACGATCTTTTTACATCCATCTCAGCTGATTTTGATTATTTTTCATTTATTTCATCCATCCTAAACTATTCCTTTTTTTCTTCTTCTTTCTTTCTCTCCCTTCCCAACTGCGCAAATTCTATTCATCAATCTCAGATGATTCATTTTTTTATTCCATCCACCCCAGATGATACCATTTTTTTCTCTTACTTCCTCATCGTGCTAATCCTTTCGATACATCGTTTTTATTTCATCCATCCATAATGATTTCAATTTTTCTTGTTTTCTCTCTTGTGTACCTTTTCTTCAATGCCAGTGCCATGCTTAAGTGGGAGCATGTTACCCATCAATATGATCTTCGCTGCTAATTAATCTTTGCATTAGTATTTTAATTGAATAAATGCTGAGCATACTTCAAGAAATTTCGCTGAAACCAAACAAGCAGTGCAGTTGCAATTGAACAATAAGAAGGCACTTCATTTTTTCTTATGGAAAATCAGGGCCAAAATGTCCAAGGTCTAAAACC